GATGATGAGGACCGGAGGGAGCGGTTCGGTCGAAATGGAAAGCCTCGGTCCACGGGGACTCGACTCGGGTGGAGTTAGCTGGACCGGGCGGGCTGGTACTGGCTTGAACCGGTATACAAATACAACCAAGTTTTGATTTTGAATTTTTCCTTTCACCTTTTTGTATTTCTCTTCTTGTGAATGAATTTTATTTGTAAGACACAGTTGTAATTTGTATAGTTATTCATTGATGTGAAAGGGAGAAAAAGAAAATGTGACATTTTTAATTAGTCCTTGTTGTGTTTCACCACTCGATTGGACTCGCTCGTTGGAAGGATAATAGGTTGTCAAGGGATTGTGTTTTGGGTTAAATGATCGATGGATGTGGATTGATATCAACTTTTTGTTTTGTTTTTGTTTTTATTTTTTATTTGTGGAATTTATTGATTGTATTTTTCTCTTCGCATTACCACTTATTTAAGTTGAATGAGTATAGCCTCTCAAAAACTCTAACGAGCCGACAATGAAAACATTATAAACAGTTAAAGAAATTATATATTTTTTCAAAAGTTTAAAATTGAATATTTGAATTTGCCCACCCCAAATCACTGAAAAATGTTGTATAATTTTTGGCCAATATGCAAGTGTTGGAATGACGAGAGAACATGATGATGTCAAAGTTAGTAATTTCATATTTATTTTATACGAAATGACAATTTCAAAGCATATGAGTTAAATTAGTATAATCAAATGATTCTGAGAAAAAATAAAAAATAATGGTGAAAGAGACAGACTCTTACTTTATTGGAGTTTAAATCTTCCATGATTGGAGACAATCATTTTATAATTGAGATTTTAATAACTATAATTATTAAAGGAAAAAAGATTGCAAGAATTTTAGAAAGAAAATCAGAAAATAAAATTAAAAAGGGGAGGTTAGGTGAGGTATTGACTTAAGATTCGTGGCGATCATCGATTAGGCGTTGTCACATTCCTTGGGTGACAGCAGGAAATCGTAGCATCCAAAATGAGATTCTAGTTTCAGCAGTCAACTTTCGCAGGAAACAAACAGACAAAACCCGAAGACACTCATTCATATTCATGCATACATGTCCATATCATCATCATGTGGTCCATCTGAAAAATCCCCCACAATTATATTCAAAATTCATTAGTTTAAATTTTGAAACCGCCTCCTTTTTTTTGGTTAAGTACAAAAAAAAAAAAATATACAGGATGGAAATTAAATCACGAACTTTGTAAATATATACTTTAACCAATTGAAGTGTGTTAAAGTTAGTGACAAATCTACTTATTTCATTTGATGAAATAGAAAGTTAATTTATAATTATATTTTATAAATAAATGTTTTAGTTTCTTTAGTTTAATATATGTTTAAATATTATTTTAGTTTTATACCTCCAGCAGAATATGCATTTTGACTTGTGTACTTTTATGTTTGTCCATTTTGATTTGTTTATTTTGAATGTACTTTTAAAATATTTGTTTAGAACTCTGTATTTTTACGGATATAATTGTGTGGGTCAATAATTTTGCAACATTTTACAAAAATTACATATCGAATAGAAACCTTTAATACGGAACAAAAATTCTATTTTTTAAGGTATGATAACTAAAATAGAAGTTTTCAAATTAATTCGACTAAAATTAATAAAAATCGAAAGCATGTGAACCTAATTAGAATTTTTAAAAGCATGGTGATTGAACTGGACAATACTAAAATGGTATTTAAATGTTTAACATAAATATTTTTTCCATAAAGAAGAATTTTTAACATCTAAACGATGATGATAGATACGGATGGATAAACACTTGAATATATTTTATATGGATAATAACAGCAATAAAATAATGACACTCATTATTATTAATTCAAATTTAAATTTCTGAAATAGAAAAAAGAAAAAAGAAAAAAGAGAGATGATTAGTCTACTGAATTTTTAATAAGGAAAATATTCGATTTCTATATACCTTGCTTCGTATAACAAAAAACAGAGAGAATATTTCATCACATTATTGATAATTAGATTAATGTAGTTGACTTTGACCAGATCGTCCAGTCAAGTTGGTAAGCCCGACTAATTTTATTATAATTGTCAATGATTAAATTTTAATTACAAGATTACAATTTTTTTTTTTGAGTGCTGCAAGATTACAATTGTTCTTGAAAAAAAATAAATTACAATTTCCGGAAGTAAAGTCAAGGGCTGACGCAGGAATGGCGAAAAAGAAAAGTAAGCGTTTAAAAAAATGCCAACAAAATTTGATATTGTAGAATCTGTTTATCGAATATTATTTTTTGTTTTTCATATCCATTAAATAAAATGGATTTAACGAATATGTCTTTAGTAGGTTTATTTTTTAAAATAATTTCTTGATGTTGGGATCGAAATTTTGAAAACAACGTTATTTTTATTTTTATGTCTCCTGTGTTTTTAGATTTCAAATTTAAAATTTAAAATACATAATTATATTAAAAATATCAAAACTTTAATAAATATACTCCTTCAGGTTATAAATTCATTGTTTTTTCGGTTAAAATTTTAAAATGTAAAATTTAATATAGTCATAAATTATATAATATATGTGAAATAATAATACTACAAAATTTACAACATACATGTTAGAAAATCTATTTATTTGATTGAATTTGGTTGGTAATTTCAATTAACAAGTTTAACAATTTTTAAATTTGGGATTCAATTTCCAAATCTACTATCAACCCATATATAAAAATATGAAATACAATTTTACTTTTCATTAGATTTATTGTTTTCATATTCCTATTTTTAGATCCTCAACTAAATACACTTAACATCTTGTCATAGAATTCTAAATCTTATTTTAGACAAATATACCTTAAAATAAAAGACCTATATAGATGCTCTTTTGGAATTCAACAAATTGTTAAGTAATAGCAAGTTGCAAAAATCACCGTCATTATAGGAAATTCAACTCTACGAAACTAAAATTGAACAAATAGACGGGGGTAAAACTGGAAAAAGACGTAAAAATCAACCACCACCTATAGAAATTAATTGGCCATTTTCGTAATTTACAACACTTGGCTGTATAAATACGAGCACAAACACAGATTACTTGACTTTTAATTGGGCCGGACTCATGACTTTTAATTGGGCCGTTATCTAGAAGCCCATGAGGCCCACAAGAGGCCAACATATGATTAGAGAACGAGTCGATTTCGAAAACGCTGGGCGTGATGCAGAAAGCCAGTAAGAGGAGGCGTCTTCAACCTCCAGAGTCAGTGGCCGATTCTCACTCCAATAAACCTCGGCCGAAATCGGCCACAGCTATAAATGGCGCAACCAAGGACCCGTACCCGGCTCATGCTTCGCCCACTTCGGATCAATGTCTATCCCTAAGAGACGATCTCTTGAATCTCCATGGTTTTCCCCGGGAGTTCGTCAAGTATCGGAAGGAGCGACAGAGGAGGCCGAGCGAGTGCTGCTCCGTCGCGGGCGGCGGCGGTGAGCCCCACGATGATGTGAAATCGGAGCTCGTCGATGAGAAGGAGAGCGTTTTGGATGGGTTAGTGAGGACTGTGCTCTCGCAGAATACTACGGAGGCCAATTCTGAGAGGGCTTTTGCTTCTCTCAAGTCTGCTTTCGCTACCTGGGAGGATGTAAGTCTTTTGCTCTCGGCTGTTCTTTATATTGGTAGAAAACGATCATGGTATTGATATTCGGTCGATTTCTTTTTGTGATGGCTAATTGATGAGAACAAAGGGTAGGAGATTGAAATTCTTGCTCGGTTAGGTGACCATGAATACTTCAAATGTGTTGCTATTAGCCTTCTGAAAATTATCAGTGTTGTCGATACTATCTTTTGAAAATTCTTCAATCAGTTTCAAAGGAAGCTTGTCACAATACAGAAACATGATGGTATCTTCTGATATTTTAAGTGTTGCTGGACCATAGTTTATTAGTGTGAGTTGTGTTATGAAGGACCTACATTAGTTTTATAGAAAACTACATGGCTAAATTCCTAAATTAAAGTTTCTGTCTTTAAAGTAATATATGCTTCAATGCTGCCCTTAAGCTTTTCTATTGTTTGATCATATCAAAATCATCTTACATAGTAAAACTCGCATGCAGACTAGTTTAAGGACAAACTTGATTCCTCTTATGGATTCAAAGTGAAATTTGGACGATGTGATTGGAGACTTGAAGTATATAGAAACTTTGAAAACTGCCTTTTAAGGAGCTTTTGATTATTTGTACTCTGCATTTTGTTGTAGGTTCTTTCGGCTGAATCCAAATGCATAGAGGATGCCATAAGATGTGGAGGATTAGCATCCACAAAAGCCTCTTGCATTAAAAACGTATTGAGTTCTCTGTCAAAAAGAAGAGGCAAATTATGCATGGAGTACTTGCACAACTTATCCATCGATGAAATAAAGGCAGAACTGTCCACTTTCAAAGGAATTGGTCCCAAAACGGTATTGTTATAAATAACGAGCCTTCGTAGCTGAATTTGAGTTTAAGCTTTTAGATCTTTTGGTCTCATAGCTAAGCATGTACCTGTAGGCTGTATCTATTAGAAACTAGAATCCTAGTTGAAGGCTTCTATTGAGGAGTCTTAAATCTCAATCACATCTATTGTGGCTATGTATGGTTTGTAATGTTCATAAATTCCTCAATGTATTAGACATCATAGATTATAGTTTGCTTCTTGATTCTTGCTAAGTTTGATTCTTAGCATCAATTATCAATCAGATAAGTTATAATTCACACAGGTGGCCTGTGTTCTGATGTTCAATCTTCAGCAAGATGATTTTCCAGTAGATACCCATGTGAGTAAACTACAGAGTTGTAATGCTTTCTTAATTTTGATCAGTTTAGTGATCCTTTTCTTTTAAGACCATTGAAAGATTGTGATTCTGTAACATGTTTGTGGCAGGTCTTCGAGATCGCGAAGTTTATCGGTTGGGTCCCAGACGAGGCGGATAGGAACAAAGCTTATCTTCATCTCAACCAAAGGATTCCAAATCATCTCAAGTTTGATCTCAACTGCCTTCTTTACACTCATGGAAAGCTCTGTTCGAAATGTACGAGGAGAACGGGCGCCCGACAAAGAAAGGGATTGGAGGATCAGTCTTGTCCCTTGTTGAAGTACTCCAAGAACCCTGCTTAAATCTGTAATGTAAATGTATTAACAAAAGTTTATTTGTGAAATCCTCTAATCCTTTTTGTCATCCTGTTTGTCTCTTAAAAAGTAGCATATCATATGCTAGATTAAGAGCTAATTGACTTTGAAAGCCAGATTAAAAAAAACACTAGTAAGCGCTTCTATAATATATATATCCTTTTACTCTCAAAATTATTAAAGAGCTTTCAACTAGCTTAAAGTTTTGTTTTTTATTCATCACACGCTAATTTAGTTTGGTATGCACGGCCGAAGATATATGGTGGCCAATTAATTATCCTGATTATTGATAGTGAAGAAGACAAGGATTCACATACTTGATCAAATGTTTCTGCGTTTTTTTTTTTCCTTCAAATTAAATTTAGCAGTTTTTTATTGAGAGAAAAAAAAAAGTTGGTGAGCTCTTTTATTCTTTGGACGATAATATGTATTATTTTTTCTTTTTTAGTACGAACTCTCTTTTTGGTCAGACAAAGATACTAATTATCGCTGAGCCAAGTTTATCTCGACAAGAATATGTATTGTTGTGGGGTCTTTTTATATTTTGATAATTTAAAGATAAATATTTCTGTATAATGAAGAACAAATTGTCACATAAATAGCTTATTTATAAAAAGAAAGCTATTTATTCTATCTTTCTTTATACATTCCTCTTTTTAGTTGTCAATTATTTTGGTGATGGTAATAGAAGATGTATACCAGAGTGGCAAGTACTTAAATTTAAAAAAAAAGTACTTAAATAGTATTTTTGTTACATTACATAATCTAAGAGTGAAAGTAGAATTAAAAGATATATAAAAAAACATATTGGAAATATTCATATAATTTGGAAATACATGATGATGATAATGAAAAGCATCGTACAATTCCTTATACTACACCATCACAACTGATCGAGATTCCCTTCTTAAAGAAGAGGAAATCCAAATTTAACAAACAAAACACCAATTTCCCAAAAGAATAAAAATAAATCTGCTTCATCACCATATTGTTCTTTTTGTCCTTTTTTCGTTTCTTTATTTTTTTTAAGAGAAGAAAAAACAACAAAAAAGAATTAAAAAAATTCAAAGAAACAAACGTTTTAAGGTTTTAACACAGCCATCTAAACAGTTTTAACACACAAACTTTTTTGTCTCTCTCTCTCTCTCTTATGTCTGAATGGAATTGAACACGTCACACCTTCGTCGGACCTCCCCCTTCCGGCCCGTCTTAACGCCGTGAACGCTAAGCTTCTCCATGGCGTGTGCGAAGTCGTGGAAAAACGCTGTCTGGTTAACGGCGTACATCTCCGCGAACTGCTTCGTCCTCGGGTCCTTCCTCAGCACGTTGTCCGTGGCCAATAGCCCCAAGCCACGTGGCAGGTTCTGATAGTACATGTTGTCGAATTTCCCCGGCGTCATGACGTCATTGAATGCTGACATGGCAGTGTCGGTCTTGTAGTTGGCGCACATTGTCTTCAGTTTGTCCGCGAATTTAGGGTAGATGTCAGGGTCAGTTGGTGACGTGGCGCTGAAGTTGAAGAGGCGGTCGGCGAACTCCTTGCAGTGAGAGAATCCGATGGTGTGGCCGCCGGAGAGCGCCACCATTTCTTGGACGGTGAACCCTTTTGATTCGAACAGTTTTATTAACTCGTCCAATGATTGATGCACCAATGGCAGGTTTGGTCCCACGTTTTCTAACTTCGAGATTAGCCCGTCTTTTCGGCCCAATCGCACGTTGTAAAACGGTCCCCCGACCATCACTACCAGGTCCCGTGTCGCCTGTTGATGCATGCATGCATTTAATAACACGTTACTCACTTGTATGCTACTTAACACATTCATTCCTTGTACGCGTCATGTTTAAATATGTTAATATAACAATAATTAATAATTAACATCAGACGAAAATATGTTAACATAACAATAATTAATATAAGACGAAAATGAGAATTTATTAAAAGATTGAGACTGTTTAGTATATTTAAACGAATGCAGATCACCTGTGCTAGAATGTCAGAACAAGACACGATGCCAGGGCAGGCGAGCTCGAGGTTGGTCTTGGCATGGACGACGACATCGAAGGCATCTCCGGAGAGGGAGTGGTTAATGTCGGCCTCGCGCTCGGCCTTGTTGAAGGAGTTAGAGGAGATGAGGATAGAGGCATCGCATCCATCAACAAAGCAGTCGTGGAAGAAGAGACGGAGGGTGCCCGCGGCGGTGACGGGGCTGGTGATTTGCTTATTGGTGACGGTGTCGCGAACGATCTTCTCAAAGTCGGGGCACGTCTTTTGGTAGTAACCGACGGTAAGTTTGGACTCGACGGAGGAGGAGAAGGGAAGGGAGATGAAGAGGAGGAAAAGTAAAGGAAAATCCATGGCGGGTGAAGGGGAAGAGGAGGAGAACTTGCTTCCTCCTTATCTATTCCTCAATGGGGAAGCCACTTCCGATGGAGGGCAATGAAGAATAAGAAGAGGAAGGAAGCAAACTTTGAGAAAAAAGGAACCAACTTTGGACCAAAATTAATGGGGTGGAGAGATTTGGATTTGATGGGTTGAAGGAAAAACGGATCCAGATATAAAGGTGAAGGATTATTCTTTTGGACAGGAGAAATTTGTGGGGTTTCAGTTATTTCAAAATCCTTTCTCTTATATTTACACATTCCAAACAGAAACAGATTTTGCTATTTTATGCACCAATGGCTGTTTTTGTTGCGAAGAATATGTGGCCATGTGGGAGTTGTTGCTATTTTTGCCACCATTTTTAACTTAATTTGGATTAGAATTTTGCATGCATGTGCCTCTAAATTTAGCTTCTTTTTTTCTTTTCCAATGGTTTGGCATGTTCGCATTGGATTTGGTAATTGAAATATAAATATATACCTACATTTTGGTTGAAATTCCATTTTGATTCCTTTATATTTTGGTTAATGAACTTGAAGAGGTAACTATTCGGTCATTTTACTTATTTTATTGTTAATTATATTGTTTTGCAAAAATCTTTTTGGTACAATGGGAGAGAATTTGAACTCTCACAATCTCACAATCTCAAAAGGTATGTTTCTTAACCAGTTTAACTATGCTCTTGATTCTTTAATAAATAGTTATTTAGTAAATAGTTAATTGTGGTATTAAATATTTGTATTATTGTGTGAATGTAGGTATGTATAGAAGATATATAAATTAGGTGATGAGTGGGTATTGAGTAGAGTGAAAATGGACGATAGAGTAATGATAATAACTAAAATAGTTATTTTTGGATATTCAAAAATTATTGAAACATGCGTTTTAAAGTTTAATAGACCAAAATGAAATAAGTTTTAAAGTTTAAAAGAACCTACAACGAATAATTAACTCTTGTTGAGAAGCCAATTTCATATAGATAGCAACGATATAATTTTACCTTCTAACCAAATCTTTACCTAAATACTACAATTCTAAAAACTAAAAGAAGTATATTAGAGGGGGAAATTCAATTTGATCCTTTTTTTATAATTTAAGACAAATTAAGAGTTTTTTTTTATCCTTTTTTATTTTTTTTGGCTGAGTTAAGTATCTCACGTTGAAAATATAAGAGTAGTAGTTAGAGTTTATAATATAAGTGGACTACTCCTACGAATTGATTTTGAAATTAAATCTCATAAATGTTGATATGTGGTATCAGAGCTTAAAAGCTAAACGAGTATCAGTCAAAAAATAAGATCCAACTAAGACTGGTGAACCCAAAAGACGCATCATCTTGAAAGACGCATGTTAATAATCCTACGTTAAAAAGATTTTGAAATGGACCCATAAATATTAATAGACTCCACCCGGGTTAAGGAGAGGCAAGACAGATGTTCTCCCTTCTATGGTATTATTTAATTCTTGCCCACAATTTTATGAAATTTCACAGACAAATTAAGGTGAAAATTAAAACCCCTTAACTTCAAAAGAAATGAAAATCATAACGTAACATTATGATGAAAGATAATTTGTCACCATCCAGTAAGTGGTAGTAGTGAGCCACACATAATTTAATTTTTAGAGTAATTACGGTGGGTAGCAAAAATAATTCATATATTTTAAAAAATGTCAGCAGCTTTTCAAAATTTCAAATATAGCAAAATATTTGAATTTTATTTTCAAAATTTTTATTTTTTTAATTTTACCCTTGTGATATCTGATATACATTCAATTTATATCTGTAACTGTATATCTGTACTCGATATACATCGATCCAATCTATATTTGATATATATCTTATGTATCTTTGATATACTTCTGATATACCTCTGACGTACTCCTGATATACGTTATTAGGTGTACCTATGATATACAATATCAGATGTATCCATGATATACATTATCAAATGTATGTATTATACCTCTAATATATATATTTGATGTACTTCTAATTTACGATATATTAAATATATTTGCAACTGATATACTAAATATAAGGTATATCAAATATTTAATTTTTAGTGGTATATCACAGCTGTTTAAATTCTAGTTTACCATTGCAATTTGTTGATTGATATACCAATATTATCAATAACATTGATTACTATATCACTACTATTTATTCTATATGAATATTATAGAAATATAAATGTTGTATCGGCATGGTAAATCAATGGTTATCATACGTATATTAGTGATAAGTCATATTAGAAGTTTAGTAGATATCATAGTTATATCAGAAGTAAATCAATTGTATATCTTAGACATATATCAGTAGTTAGATATATTACAGATGTATATAAGATATATTGCAGGGTAAAGTTGTAATTTTAAAATTGGACTTCCGTTTTTTGTTAGAAAAAATGCTAAATATATTGTTATTTTGCTTATTTTACTAAAAAAAAAGAGTCTTTTTTCTTGGTTTTTTTCAAGGGGTAAAAATGACAATATTCAAGATTGAATTTGTCTTCGTTTAATTAGCAATCTCAATCCCAAACCTGAAAGTTCCATCGCCAAACATCGTTCTTCTTTCCTTATTTAATTCAATAGTATCAATTTATCCATTTTTTTCATTGGCCAGCTTTCTTTTCGTTTATGGGAAACTTGCATTCTTGTAATAAATAAATATAAGATACACGAGATAAAAACAAAACCTTTCACCCACGTTCCTCAAAGCCTCAAAAATAAAATATAAAAAGTAGTAATGGTAAAACTTTTCAGCTATGGGTGGTAACCATTTATAAATTAACTTTCTCAAAACTGACTATTTAATCTTTAAATAAAAATTATTTAGTAAATGCTTTCCTCTTTTTTTTTTTCCTTTCAACTCACTCAAACGTCCAAATCTTTACAAACTACGGACCACGACTCATCAACTATAAAAGAATTATTATATCGTTGTTGATTTAGTTTATTAGAAGGTTTTATTTATAGATAGAAATTTTCGCTCATATTTAAATCATTAAATTTATTAGCATGCATTATCTTATACTACGTTACACATATATTTCTCCACTTCTCTTTGGTGACTTTACTTCACATTTGTTTCTAATCCAACAAAAACATTCACGTGGTTTCCAAAAAAGACAATGTTCTGTTTGAATTTGAATTTAAATCCAACACATCCATACAATAATCCAAAAATAAAAAATAAAAAAGAAACCCAAGATCCAAAAGTAATAAAAGTGGGGAGTGGGTAGTAATTTGGAAGGAGAGTGACGTGGCGTTGTCGCAGCCCGACAGGTCGGAATTCAATTCCCAAGCAGACACAAACGCAGTGTGGGATACTGGCTGCAGAATTGATTGTCGTTTTTATCGAAACAGTGGAAGACAGCGTGTTCATGGGAGCAGACCAGCAGCCGGAGCTGGTATTACACTACCATGACATAATTAACATCTGAAAATCTTTCCATAAACATAATTAATTAACAATCACATTTAATTCAGTGTTAAAATTTTAATTACCTTGGGAAATGGGCTTCCAATCCAAGAACCCAAATGCCCCCACCGCACAGGCTTTCCACCTCCTCCTCTGTAATTTTCCCCACAAACGATGACCACCATCGTAAATTCACAAGCGCATTGAAATTAGAATCTCTTTATATGAAGAAATTGCAGTCACTGTGGCTTGGCTCCTAAATAGTAAACGCATTGGAAAGCCATGGCGGTGGCCCGTTTCCTTCTTCTTCTAGGAGTTCTGGTCTTCCTCTGTCTCTCTGAGGTAAAAGCTCTGCTCTCTCATAATCTGTCAATTATAAGTTTCGCCATCTGGGTTTTCCAAAGATTGGAACTTTAGTCTCGGTTAATATGATTCTTTATCTGCTGAGCTATGACGGTTGCATGCAGGTGTATTGCGAGGGGCAGTTGGAAGAAGGGTTTGAAGGGGTGAGAGGCCCGAACAGAAGGCTAATGCGGTTCATAGGTGAGGATTGAATGAATGGTTTTGATTTGAATTTGGTGGGTGTTCGTTTGTGTTTGAAAATCAACTGGCTGATGAGAGAAATAACATCTCTCTTGTGAACTATTTATTAAGTTTTCGTTAGATTACTTATCTTTTCAACGTGGAATCTTGGTAGATTGTGGAGGGTCGTGCAAGAGGCGGTGCGGAGCGCACTCGAGGCCGAAGCTGTGCATAAGAGCGTGCGGGACGTGCTGTGCGCGGTGCAGGTGCGTGCCGCCGGGGACGTCCGGGAACCGTGAGGTGTGCGGCAGATGCTACACCGGCATGACCACCCACCACAACAAGACCAAGTGCCCTTAATTATTAGTTACCTCTCCCCCTGCATTTGCTTCTTTTCTGCCTCTGCCTTTCTCATTTTGTGGTTTTGTTGGTTTAATCCATGTCTCTCTATGTATGCTACATTTTATGTCGCCTATGAAATATGTTCTTCAAAATTAGATTTTGAAATTAACAATTATAGCTTCTAATCAAATATTTGACCTTAACATAGGAGGGATTATCTAGAGTGTTGGAGCTACGAGCTAGAGAATTTTAAAAGAACCTAACAATACTTAAGGGCCAAGGTCCTTTAAATTAATTTTGAGGGCAAATACTTGCTCTAACCACCGTTAAATATTTAACCGTTGAGAGAGAAATACAAATACTAAAACTTTTTCTAGAAATAATATGTTTGTCAATTCTTCAATGGTCTTAGCTAAGCATTTTTTCAAAAAGGATAAAAATGGAATAATTTTCAAAGAACGGAATCCCTTAAATTAATTTTAAAAGAACAAAATTTTAAATTTTTAAAGGGCGAAAGAAAGCTTACATTTTAAATTTTGGGCAAAAAAACTAAACTAAATTTAAGGGGCAAAAGAAATAAACTAAGAAAGAAAGGAGAAGAGAGAAAAGATAACAAGCAAGAGAAGATCGAAAAAGAGATTTTAAAAAAACTATTACACTTTTGAGTGTATTTTTTAGTTGGAGAGTATAGTTTTTAAGAATAATATTGAGAAAGTTGTCACTGCCAACAGATTTAACAACTATTTATTTTTAAAAAAATAAAAAATAATATCTCTTGTCTCTCGCTTGTTCAAAATTTAATGTAATGGTGGTAATCCAAATAGGAAAATTGTATTTAAAAATGGACTATAATCATTATATTATTCGTTGTTGATTAATTTAATCTTCTTAGTAAATGAACATTAGCTAGTGGAAAATGACTCAAAATAGTCCAAATATCCGATTCCCCTCTTCTTTGTGGTTCTAGCATCAAATCTTCTTGTTTAAAATAACTCTTAAATAATAAAATAATACTATATGTTTGTAACTCATAATGACTTTTTCTGGCAACTTAGCTTTAACTTAGTTTAAATTAAACCTTTTTTTTATTCTTTAAAAATTAACTCTAACCTTCCTAATTTTATAAAGGAGTTGTAAAGCAAAAAAGAGAAATTATGTCCGATTAACAATGTTGATGCCAAAATTTGTCGAGTTTTAGGGAGCGATGGGTTCAAGGCCCTAATGAGATGGAAGCGAGAGGACCTGCAAATACTGTTAAAACACTCAAGTTAATTCTAAGTATGATCTACCTGATTGAGTAGAGTGATGAGTGTATTGATAGAAATTAGATGAATAGTTGTCATCAATCATTCAACTGTTCTCGAGATCGGCAACCTACTATTTACTATTGATCGTGCTCCTTGACGTTAGAATCTACCCCAATTGAGCTTGGGGTAAACTCTTGGCCTAAATAGGCATACCGACTTAGGAGCTTGGCGCTCCTGAACCATACACAAAGGATATGGTTACACCAACAATTTGTAAACTTCTATTTCAGAAGATATTATTATTATTGCAAAACATCAAGCCTTACATACATAAGCTCCTCCTATATTCTATTTATCAAGTTGAAAGAAGAAACACATACATACATATATGTAGGCATTATATTTTTTTTACTATTATTCTATTTATCATGAATGAGTACTATCAACTTTTTCTTCTACTCTTATTCTATAAATAAATATTGGTCAAATCTTTACTACCAATTTGTGCATATTGCTCTGATTTAGCTATATTGGACTATTTCGAGGTATAATTATATGCTCTACTCTATTTGGACTTTTAGGCAATTCTTTTTTCCCATATGAGCCTCCGCAAATTTAATTATCATTTAAAATTCTTTGGTCCACTTAATTTAAAGTAATTTTTAAATAGCTAAAAAGTTATCATGGTTATGGTTTTAGTGAATATATTATTATTAAAATTGTCGAAATAATAAGGGAGCTTCCACTAATTTTTTTATAGTGCGTGCCCACTTCTTCAAATTTAAGTTGGACACATTTATTTTTGGGCTATTTCTAAAATATTTTAAAACACTAATTTATAAGCCTATGAACTTATTTACTGCTGACCAATAAACACTTTGGTGAGAAAACGAGCATAATTCAACAATAATTGACATATATCTCAAACTAAGAGATTGTGAGTTCGATTCTCCACCTCTACTAAAAAAACATTTTGATTGTACTAATGTTCTTAATATAAATTACGAACTTATCATACATCATGCCTTCTTTCTATTGAGAATGTGATCAAAGTGTTACATCGACTAAATAAGGAAATATCATTAGCATACAACATGATTTAAAAGTTTTTAGGTGAGAAAACCAAAAGTAAAATCTAAAATGGACAAATATCGACACACAGATTCGACCGGAGGTGCGAAAACCCTAACAAATATGATTCAAAGATAAATTTGATGATGATGGTTGGACATATAAGTATGCACATAGATACACACTAGTCCAAAATTTTGTCCACAGTTGATGCATGATTGAAGTGTATGGTACAAAGAAAGCAAAAAAGGGAAGATGTTGCTTCGTCTTTGTGAGTGCATAGTGATTCCCACTCATGGGGTATGTTTGAGCATGCCTAGCTATGCTTTAATTTGTTGCATGGCACAGAAAGACAAGCCAAAAAAGCAACCACCACTCTCTCTTGCTTGTTCCCTTCTTCTCCCTCTCTCAAATGCCTCACGTCATTTGCAATCAATCTCTTTGTTTTTTTGGTCAAAATCCCATTTCCCCAATACCCATTATTTTGTTTGCTTAAACAATCTCAAACACCCCATGCCCCTCCCAAACTTTTCTTGTCTCAAAAACCCTTTTCTTCTTTTGCTTGCTTCTCACCCCTAATCTTTTACCAATCATAATCAAAACGAGACATGCTATCGTTTTCTTTAAAGTCTCCTTTTAGGATCACTGAACTTTCAGACGTATTCAATTTTGATTTTTTATGTTGGAGATGCAAATATGAAGTCTCGTGTTGATTATAAGGGAAGAGAAGATCGATAAAATACTAATAAGGACAACAACTTTGTTCATTTAAAATTTTTTTTTGAATCAAAACTAAATTCATATGTGCAATTTTGAACTTAAAGCGGACAACATCATATCAATTACTATCACAGGGTGTGGCTAGGAATAGCAAAAGAAGATTGGGTAGTAAGGAAAGATATGCAAAAGAATAAACATTCTAAGATTTTTTAAATTTTAATAATGAAGGTTGTTAAGTAGGAAGGGAGTTGGGTTGTCCATATTGTAAGTTGAATATAAAAATTGAAACAGAAACGTTACCAAACAGGACGTTGAAGGTCTAGATTTGACCATCTTCCTTTCTCTATTTTTTTGCTCAATCTGAATGGAATTCTTATTTCAAACCCAGTTCCTCCAAATATTTCAATTTCCACCCAAACTGGTTCCCAAAAATGGCATATATTATACACAGGCCCCTTCTAAAATATTCTGTTCGTCTTTTTCTTTCTTTTTTTACTTTCATATTTTAAAACTATTAACAACTTGTTTAAAAACTTCAGCTAAACTTGAACAACTAGAAAAATATAGTATCCAGAAGCTCTTTTCTTTTTAATTTAATTGAACTTTTAAGTTTTTTTTCGGAAAAAAAAAAAAACTAAAAGTAAGACAGAGTTTGTTTCCTTTTTTAAGAAAAGAGCAAAAATATCATTAGCAAACAATCTTAATTTTAAAAATAACTTTTTATTCAAACTCCCTGTAGAAAGTTACTTAAATAGAATTGATGTCGTCATAATTTTCAGCTCATAAACTACATATTCATTATTCAATATAAAGAAATAAAAATTGGAAATGCTCATAATCAAGTAGGAGTTATTTGTATCTTCCAAGTTCCAAACCCAATTTCAATTTCTCAATGAAATTCAGAGTACAGTGTTTGAAATCTCAACTCCTTTCTCTTTTCCCTTTTCGTTTTTTTTTTTTTGTTCTGTTTCTGTAACGAACTACTCCTTCCCTATGCACAAATCTCACTCTAAAACTTCTGAAGAGGGGACACAATTTCTTCTCATTATTATGTTCTTGATCACAAACAATGAATCGTTCAGCTTCCACCCTCAGAAATACTTTGCAGAGAAGGTTGCCACGCTCTTGATTTGGTCGTTAAAGATGCCGTGGGTACAGATTTCTTGATCACTCTGTTGTTTCTTTCATGTTTCATCATCTGAAAAATTCAGAATGAAATATTCAGATTCCACCCACGAATCATCCATTAAAGAAAATTTTCTGAGTAAATGATACCCACCTGATTCTTCTCCCCATCAGATCCTCCAGAATCCACCGGGTTTTTCTTCGTTTTCGCTTCCTGTTTTGCTCGCAATCCCTGCAAAACATCTAAACCACAAAACGCCCAAATTAAGAAATAAGGTTTAAAATCAGACGAATCGAGTGGAAAAATGAAGAAATTGGGAACAAACCTTGGGTTGTGACGAGCCTGTAGATTTGGCCGAGAACGAGGGAATCGGTCGGCTTCAGAAGCTTGATTCGAGTCAATCGGACGGAGTTGAAATTGGTGGCGTTTGATTGGTCGTTATCGCGGCGGCGGTGGCGGCGGCTAGGGCTAATTTCCGATGAGCAGATTTTGGTGGAGATGAGGAGGGCGACGTAGTGGCCGGGATTCGTCTTCATGATCTCGCCGGCGTTCACCGGCCAATAGAATCGGTCGACTTTGCCGGTCGGATGCTGTATGATTAAAGAAGCTGTGTCAATGGCTTGGCAATTTCCCATCGTTTCTTTGTTTCTCTCTCCTCTAAGAATCTGCGGAGCCGAGGAAGAAGAAGAAGCACCGACCTCTTTTATAGCCTGCCAAGTGCTCGTGAAACAGTGCGTATTGATTGCTATGGGCAGTTTAGTAATTTCGTCGCGGTGGCGATGGGCATGATCGTCCATTCGGTGGAAAAAGAGGAGGGGAAATGCGCCTGTTCACTTTATTAGAAAAAGGGGAAAAAAAGAAAACTTTCTATTTTTTCTCTCTCTTTCTTTTAGTTATAATAATAATAATAATAATAATAATTTTAAATTTTATTTTGATTCTCAATTTTGTATTTTTTTGAACTCCCAAATATTTTTATTTTAGGTACTCAATCTTTGGAATAGCATAAAAAACTACAATGTTGTTGTCTTTAGCCTAATCATAAAAAGAAAAAAAAATGTTCGTGTTAAATGAACTAAGATCAAATAAACATAAAACTTATAAGATTAAGGTAGAATTTAAGCTTTAATAATAACAAAAAAGATTTAAATGATTTGTTTTGTAATAATAAAATATTTCAACTAGACAAAAGAAAAAAAAAGTCATTTATCGTTTCCATACACCATAAATTTAAGTTACTTTCAACAATACTTTATCAATGAACAAAAAGCTCTTTTTTTTTCCCAAAGGATAAAAATCTTTTTTCTCTGTGGACCATTTTCTCATTTTAACTTTACCGTTGTGTTTTTGAATTCTATAATTGATCTATTTATTTTAAAGGGAAGTCAGTTCATTGCCGGTTGACCAAGAAACATTATACTTATTCGTGTATTTATTGCCTTCATAACCTTTACCCTTTCTGAGTTGACCAATTCTGACATAAATCAACTTATAATATATATAACATAAGGTCATTGGAAACATTTCGAGACATTCAAAGTTTTTAATTGGTTTCCGTTTTAATTTGGATAAGGTTATTTAATTATTTTCCTTTCTAAACTTGTCACATGTAAGGAAACTTATCTGTTTCCTAACTAGTGAATTTTATATTGTATCTATTATTTTTGTTTGAGTTTTCAACCAAGCATTAATTAAGTGTTGCTAGTATAGAAATTTGAATTTTACCTTTATGAACTCATAAAAGAAATGTTAGTGAAGCCTTATAATATTTTTTTTTTGAAAATATTAAACTCTTCACCATCGGTGATTGAAATAACTAAATCTTGACTTCGTCCCCATTAAATATTTCAAAATTCATTATTTTTAATTAAATTTATGTTATTGCATTTATCTCTCTTTGTTGTCAAACATTTAATGGTGGTAAGACACCATAAGGAGTCAAGTGTTTTTTTTTTTAATTTCTTAGTAATTTTATGGAGTAACTCCACCAAATTAACACTACTGTATAAAAACGGTATATATTGTCTTCAAATTATTTTTTTTCTAAATACAACCGTGATTGCATGTTGTCTCTAATGCCACGTATGTAGATCTGCTGAATTGCAAAAGAATTTTCAAAACATTATTTCTTTTAATGGTTTCGAGTTAGCATTATTTTAAAAATTAGTTTAAATATTTGGCCATATTTTAAACAAAATCCTCAGCATAATATACAAACAAAATAAATCTACAAAAAGAAAGTCTTAATATCACAAAAGAATAATAAAATATTAAAAAAGTATCGCTAATTTAAACCAAATATTACCTATTTAGAAAGAGTGAAATACTTAATTTTTTTAAAAATATTCTTCAATATTTGACATTTTATCCATATTTTCATCTGTGACAACTCCATATTTTCATGGACGAGACATTCAAAAACTTGGTTGTAACTAAAGTGAATTAAAGAGAATTGATTCATCTTCTCTAATATATGTATGTGTCAATATCTTCTTAACTGTGGACCAAGACAGTGTCACAGTGGCATGGGAAAAATGGGACCCATTAAGAAATGTTCCATTGCCATTGTCAGGTTGTAGCAGACATTGGGAACCAACAAACAAACATTAATTCATTCAAAAAATATATACATCAGATCCTAAAGTTCACTCAACCAATACTCTTGTCTGATTTTCTGTCTTCCCCAAATCTCTCTTTTTCCCAACTTATTAATAATATTATGCTCTATGCTCTTACATTACCCAAAAAAAAAAATAAATAAATAAAAAACTCTAATCTCTCTAGAACTATTTTATTTTATTATCAATTCATACCTACCTGATCTCTATTTAAGATCTCATTAAAAGTTGATTATCATTGAAAACTTGACACCCCAAATCCCAATCCTTCTTCTCAAGAGGGATTTAATTACTGTGTGTTCAACCTAATAATCTTTTCTTATATTATTTTTAAGCAGCCCTCAAGTACATGAAATTTATAATTATTTCAATATTTCATTCATGTTTGCCTTTAGTGATAATTGATCATTAACGGTGAATCTTTTAACATATATGAATTAAGTAAAAACTAAAGATAACCCCAATTAAGTGCGTATATAAACAAGTAGTTTTCTTTGCTTGAGTTAAAAATAATTTATCATTTATTACGTTAGACTTCTATTACTTTTTAATAATGTTTAGTTAATCGAAGTTTGGAGAGTATTAGATGCATATATAAGTGGGTAGGTTGATAATGTTATTTAACATTCTTTTGCCCTCTACCAAACGGCACATTATGCTGAAAAAAAGGAGTAAGAAAGATATTGAATTTTGGTGGCACAACCACAAGATTATGTCAAAGTTATCATTTTTTTTTAAATAATGGGTTTTACTTTACCATATGCATTAAGCATTTGCATTGTAGGTGTAACAAAGGACAGAATCCCAGAATAAATTTTTGTATTGTTGTGCTGGAACTGTTGGTATTTGGAAAAAAGCATCAATAAATAATGCCCCAAAATTTGTTACAAGGAATGGCAGAGTCATAGGAATCTGCTTTTTGGAAGTTGCAATTGCACAGAATGTTGTTTTTTTTAGTTCTTAGTAATAAGGCCAAATCTTTCTGCTCTGCCCTGCCTTTCTGTGTGCTTTCATGGGCTGTTTTCTGTCCCTTCCTCCTTTCCTAGAAATTATAGCTTCTTGTTTCATTTAGCTACCTTGCACATTTACGGATCCGAACATAGCTCGGCTCGGTTGATATTACGATTTCTAAAATTGATGGTTCGATTCTTTGTTTTGCCATTGTTGAATTAAAAAAATATTCACAGTAACTTTCATAATAATAAATATCATCATCTCTTAGATTGATAGTTTGATCCTTCACTCTTGAACTAAAAAAACATTTACATTCACATAATAACTTCTAGAAATTTGTTCGAAATGAATATTTTGTTTATGCTATAATTTGATTGCGGATAGAATCGAGTGGATTTTGATTCTAGAAAATGCAAAGAGAAACCTACATATATTTGCTTAGGACGAATAACGACGAGTATTAAATTTACATACCTGCTTATAGAGTTTGGCATATATTTATTGACATTAATGCGTGGGGCCATTCAATATTGGTCACTAAGCAGGGGATTTACAATAATGAGTGAGCGGTTGAGAGTAGTTTTATTTATGTCTTGCCTCGACCTTGGTTAAGGTTGTTGTCGACAAGAGATTTCAATGTATATTTTTTCATACCAAAAGTATGAGGTGTTATACTTCGAACTTTTAGATTACCTCTCTTCTCTTATCACTTGAAACGTTGTTTTATATCGTCCAATAGATTCTTTCTATTCAATTTTAAGTTCAAATTTTTAATCATACTTAGAGACAATGTGAAGAAATAAAAACAACTTCTTGTTTTGTTTTATGTCGTCCTTCAAAATGAATTATACTGGTCGGGTTAGGACATTATTTCCCTGTGAACCTTTTTTTTTGTGGGTAAGTAATATGAATAAATATTTTGTTGAATGAAGTTGAAGAATTGTTCGATCATTTTCTCCCGTCTCTATTCTCATTTTTTGATGAAGGTGCTTGGGAATCACAAAGCAAAATAAAATAATATTTTTTTATTATTGCTTATATTTTACTATGTATTAATGTAAACATTTTATTTTGTTTTAATTAATTATTTAAACGTTAATGGATTAATTAACTGTTAAACGTTTTAATTAATTAATTCAGTTGTTTTAACGTCTTAATTAAATAACTCGAGATTATAAGGGATTATATGCGAAAATATTTTTTATACTTTTAATTAAGGATCCTATTCCATATTCACCATCATTTCGTTTTACAACCCTCATTTATGGGATGTCAATATAAGGGAAAATTTTTAAATTTGTAGCCAACCATAATTTAAGGCATAGTCTTCCCTCGAAGATTAACAAAAATCTTTTAATATCTCAAACTTTTTCTATCGAGACTTAGAAGTAGGGCGAGAGAAAATCAATATGATATTCTCACTTATAAAATCTTTTAACTACTCGAATGCAAACAAAATAAAACAATGGTGAAAAACTTGTTAATATTTTTAACGTTTTCAATTTTATAAGGGATACCAAATTCTCACAAACCTAATTCTAGAATAAAACGGCCGTATTCACTAAACCTCTAAAATAGAAAAGTTACACGTTGTGAATTACGTAGTATTGTAATTTCCTGGGAAAGAAACCTTTTTTCTCAAATCCTAAAACGATTTGGATAAATAGGCCGATTTTTACTAAAGTTTATGCTTTTCACCTTGTAGACTAGATCCGGTATTTAAGTTTGAATGATAGGGAGGCCCAATAAGCCATATTGGTTGGAAATTATAAAATTTAATCCGATTTTAAGATGTTTTTCATTGAAAAATCAAATGAGAGACAATAATATATTTTTTTGATACTCACGAGTCCTATTGGTTTGAGATATATGCGGGTGAATATCAGTCGGTCGGGATCGGGTTCTTTGTCAAAACCGACCTAATCGGTTTTCATTATTAGAAACCGACTGTCTTTATATGCATGCTAAAGCCGACCGACTAACATGTTGGTTCGATCGACCTTGTTTTTCGTTGGTTTTCACGCAACGACGGGCGCAAGAATGATTAAAAAACTTACTCGGTTAGTGTGCATGAAAGAGAAGGAGGGTTGTAGCGCACTTAAG